GTCGGTGCAGCTGAGGTGGCAGGCAGCAAGGTTGTCCCTGCACTACCAGAGAGTGGCCAGTCAGAGCCTGAGCCACCTGAAGTGGAAGGCGGAGCAAAGGCTACGGGTAATGAACTTCTCCTTGGAGCCAGAGACAGGCCAGGGCTGGAGTGCGGGGCCTGTGGGGGCAGAGCTGGGCTTGGGAGTTGGAGTCCTGCCTGCAGGCACACGGGGACACATGCCTGTACGCCCCCTCAGCTGTCTGGAATGGGAGGGGAGTAGGACGTGGGCCTCAGGACAGGGGAACAGACGCTGTGCCACCCACTTGGCAAGAGCTGCACAGGCCCCTTTCAGAGCAGCAGGGTTAGGCAGCCTGTGCTCAGTCATGAGATTGAGCGGGGAAGCCTAGTGTCCTTAGCCTGATATTCTGAGCCACCACTCCAAGGTCACCGTGAAATAGGCTTACCTGGCCTCCCAGGTTCTTCCGTGTGTACCCATGCTTACTGCTCTGTCAGGGACCCACCACATCCTTCCTCCAGCTGTCTCAGACCCCCCCTCTGATGAGCTGAGGTGTCTCTAGCATCGTGAAATAGATGGCAGTGGGTCAGGGGATGGTGCTGAAGTTCATCAGCAGAGCTTGAGACGGGGCAGAGTGAAGGAAGCCGCTGCTGGCTCCTTTTCACAAGTGCCTGAAACCAGCCCACCACCTCTTTCCCCTTCCTTCACGGAATGGGAGCCACTCCCCTGCTCCCAGATGAAAGACGACACTCCTGCCACTTCTCCCTTAACTTCCACCACTTCCCCTGGTATGGGCCGAACTTTGCAACACTGCCATCTGGAAGGCTCTCTGGAGGAGGAGAGCTGTAGGAGATGGGTAGGCAGCGTGAGGCCAGCACGCTCTGAGCTCATCTGCAGGGCGGCTTCCCCGGCCCTGTCAGTCAGCACAGGGAACACCAAGGGAGCAGAGGATGGCTTAGACTTTCTCTCTATTTGCCTCCTAACCTCTTTCTCTTGCTGTGGGGACAGGGAACTGTTTTTATGTCAGCATGCCAGCAGGACCCCTGGACTCAAGCACTGACCCCTCAGGGGCACCCACGAACCACTCCCAGCCTGACAGCCTCCCCGCCTGGCAGGCAGAGCCTCCACCCCAGCTGCCAGGAAGCAATGGAGATCAGAGGCGCCCCGGCCGCTCTCCCCCAAGCCTGGCCCTCAGGGACGTGGGCATGATCTTCTGCACCATTGAGCAGCTCACCCTCAAGCTCAACAGGCTCAAGGTGAGGGAAACGGGGCCTGGGTCCCTGGAGGCCTTCAGTGCTGTGTGTGTCCAGGGGAGCCCTAGATCCTGGCCTGGCCTGGGGCTCTTCCCTCAGCCCGTCTAGCCACCCTCAAGCGCAGCCCCATCCCGAGGGCCCAGCACAAATAAGAGAGCGTGGTCCCTCCCCCAGGGACCTTATGAACAGACGGATGAGAGCAGACATTCCCCTACAACTCTTCTAGGACATGGAGCTGGCCCACAGAGAGCTGCTCAGGTCCCTTGGGGGAGAGTCGTCTGGTGGCACCACGCCTGTGGGCAGTTTCCACACAGAGGTGGCTAGATGGACAGACAGCGCCCTGTCACTTCCAGCCAAGGAAGCCGTGGCCTCTGACTCCAGGGACAGCCATGCACTGGGGCCTTGCCCTGAGGGTGGTGAGTGAAGCCACTTCCCTCTTTGTACCCACCCTGGGGGAGAAGGCATCCAGCTAGGGAGCAAATGTCTCCACGCGGTGTGAGGAGAGAGAGGGTTCTGAGAAGAGGGTCTCATTTCCCCCTTACATACAGTTAATTCATTCCCTCAGCTTCAGAAAGATATAATTATAGGGAGGCCCCACAGAAACGCCCCTAAAATCTTAGAATTGAACCCTCTATTTCCTTGGGTTATGGAGATAACAAACCAGAGGGAGCCTAGTCTCACATCTAAAATCTTTTAATGGCTCAGAACCAGATTGAGTGGGTCAGGGACATGGTGATGTTCTATCTCAGGGAGACAAAGCACATACCTACCCGTGGGTTTTGGGGGCTGATGAAACAAAAGTGGGGTTCAGTAGACAGCCCTTCCCAGGCCCCATAAGAAACTAGGGTTTCTGGAGGAGAATGCCTTGTCACAGATGGATGGCGCCAAAGGAGCTACTCATGAGCTTGAGGACTTTCCAGGCAAAACATAAGAGGGAGGCTCATCTCAGAGGCCAGCTCCTCACTGTCCTCCCTGCATCCTCCGCAGGCTCTGGAACCCCCCTGGAAGACAGCGTGGCAGAGGCAGCCACATCCCCAGGACTGTAACTGTCCAAACCACCAAATGCTCTGCGTCCCACTCCTGCTCTAGGGACAGGCCCGAGGCAGGGGCACAGGGTGGGGACACCCTAAACCTCCTCCCTGGGCAGAGGCAGTTGAGGAGATAGATCCAGCCAAGACCCGGGGGGAGACCCGCATGTTGCTTGGTCTGCTCTGATCGGAGTCAAGTTCCAGTGTCTTTTTCCCTCCCTCAGCCCCCACTCCAAGGCCTCGTGTCTCCTAAGCATGCTGACTGCATCTGAAAGGCCCCCCGTCCCCCATTCGCGTGTCCACCTGTATGTGGGCACCCTCAGACATGCAGGTGAAGGGAGGATGCTTCTGTGTAAATGCACTTTCTTCCTCCCACCCTTTCTCCACAGGACCCCAAGGCTGAGGTGAGGGGCCTCCACCTCTCCTCTTTGACACTTTGGTTTCCTATAAATATGTATGTATTGTATGTGCATCTTTGCTATTGTAAATAACTTTGACCTTTTTTGTTTCTGTTCCTGGGGTGCTAGAGGCAGTTCTAGAAGGGACTGCTAAGAGAAGGGGAGGTTCACTTGGATCTCCTAGTTAACACTCAGCTCCAGGATCAGGGCCTGAAGGTGGAGCCGGCCCTGAGTGCCCCAGTCCCCTGTGGGCGGAAGGGTCTCCTGGCCTCCAGCCTGCCTAGCTTGAGAGCCCAGCCTCTGCGGCTCAGTGCCAAGCCACTCCCTCCCTCCCAGGACTTCTCATCTTCAGGGGAAATCTTACCCGGCCTGTGTCCACCTTTCCCCACCTTCCCTATAGAAAACCAGTCTATCAGGTACGGAGCTGAAAACCGGGCCCCAGGAGGTGAGCAGAGGGGGTTTGAATGCTGGAGTCCCCAAATTAACCAGGACCATCCTCGGGGGCCACCACAGCGTTGGCCCCTGTTACCATGTCCACTCCACTCCCCCACTGACAAATAGAATATACACACTGTGCTAGGTGTATATATACATATATATAAATATATATATATAATATATAAAATATAGATATGGAAATGACTGTTTTGCTGTTAAAATAATGTATACTCTTTTATTTTCTTCCTTTCATGGTTAAGATTTTTTTTTTTTAAGAAAAGTTAAATATTCTTCAACTGTGGTGGTGTATGTGTGATTCTTGGAACTGCTGTGATAAAAGATACTGTGGTTACTCCCTGAGAGGGTGGTTAGAATTGGATAGAGGAAACAGAAGGAAGTCCCTGCCCCCGCCCCAGCATCAAGCCCCCAGACCCAGGTCTTGCCATATTCTCTCCCAAAGCTTCAGATGTGTGCTCACGGAACTGCTGTTGGGCAAACTGAGTTATACAGCCCCCGTGGCCCAAAACATGAAAAGACATTGAACTCACTTCATTTAAACACACACATGTATATTCAGGGGAACAGAGGCCCCAGAGTAAAGAGCCCTCATGAGCTGCCCTCAGGACTTGAAAGGCAAAACATAGGGGGAGGGTCATCTCAGAGTCCTGGCCAGTTGTCACTGTCATCAGCCCTCTGCATCCCCCCCCAGACTCTGACATCCCTGGAGACCATCATGGCAGCCACAGCCACATCCCCATCCCCAGGACTAGAACCATCCAAACCTCCTCTGTCTCTGCCCTCATTGTTGGACTAAGGGACAAATTCTCTTTCAGCCCTAACTATCTATCTAATAGTCTCCCTCCTAAACCTGGCATAACGCTAGGCACTGACCTCGTGAGCTTACTGTCTAGCTGGGCATCGGCATTAATACACAAGTTGTAGGTGATAAAGTGTCGGGATAAGGACAAGGGCCATCAGGGTTCACTGAGGCTGTAGAAGGACTCAGGCAGGGGTAACTGAGAAGCTGAAGTGACCGATCATCACAGAGCACCTGTGATGTGCTCAGTGTTGAAAATTCAAAGAGCTGATCCATTTTCCCTGCAGAAGCTCAGCAGCCAGCTGCGGAGTGGCGGAGCAGCAGCCCCGGCGGTCAGAGGCAGAGAGGCCTGTGGGAGCCAGTGAGCCTCACAGAGAGGGAGTTCTGGGCAGGGAGAGCAGGTCTGTCGAGGCCCCAGAATGAGGGGGGGTGGGGGCTGAGGGGATGTGGACCAGGTTAAATCTACCCAGAGGTGAAGGAGGGACACTTCTCTGGACGCTCCCTGTAGAGTGGACGTCAGCCCCTCAGAAGCCACCCCTGTGCTCTCTGGGCACAGCAGTAGGTTATCCCAGGGGAGGCAGCACTGAAGGGTAGAGACGCGGGGCCCCCAGCTCTCCTTCCCCCGGTGGCCCCACGCAGTCTGGGAGTCCCTGGTCTCAGGTCACTGGCATCTGCGGGCAGTGTTACTAGGGTTCATGTGTAGTGTGTGGCCTTTGCAGTGTAGATCTTGAGAGACTCAGCTCCCTCTCCGAAGTAGCCTGCCAACTCTGTACGTTTTCCTAAGCTGAGCCTTTGCCTCTCCTCCAGGCCAATCGGACATCTGCGCCAGACAAGGAGAAGCAGGAGGGGCCAGGTGGGGCACAGGCTCCATCCCTCCACCCTACCCGCTCCTTTTCCACTTGGCTGTGCCTGTAGGTTACTAATCCCAAGTCTTTCCCTTCTGCCTCTGAGACCAAAGGCTGAATGCAAACCGGGGCATATCACCTGTCCTCTAGGGAACACAGGAGAGAAGGACTGGCCGGAACAAGCAAGAACTCGGCCCTGAGGAGGCAGGAGAGCAATGTCCCTGGCTGGCAGATGCTGGAGGAGCTAAGATGGTCCCCAGCAGAACTGTAAAGCGATTCGGCCATTTCTGGCCATGTAACATGAACAGACTCAGAGTTCAAAGGCTCCAGTTGGCTGCTCCAACTGGAACAAAGTTTTCAGACAACCTCAAGGAAACAGTACAACAGTAGAATTTGTTAATGATCTGAGATCTCCCCCAGGGAGGTCAGCCCATGCATGGACAGGAGATGGTTCTGTGGCCCAGAGTCTCCGGGAGGAAGGTGGGAGGGGCTAGGAGGAGGAAGCCTCCTCCTCCCTGGGCTTGGCCTTACTGATGGGGTCCCTTGGCAGCATGAGCTCCTGGATCATGGTGTACGCAGCACATTGTGGGGAGAAGCAGTTTTTCTGCAGGAGAGAAAGGAAGGCTGACAGCTGACATAGGAAAGAAGATTAGTCCTCCGGAAGGAAAAATGTCCTGGGACAGGGTGGGTTCCAGGCTGGGGGACATGAAGAAAAGGCAAAGCGAGCGCTACTGCTGATCTTGCCGTGAGGGACACGGGTTATGTTGTGATAAAGAGAATTAGGGGAACTGCAGACCTGCCTTGGAAATGGGGAGCCACAGAAGCCTACCTGCAGCAGGAGAGTGACAGCACTCACCTCCAGGGACAGAGACAGCAGCCCCATGGGGCCCTTGGATGCACTCTTGGCCTTGGAGAACTGCGCCTGGTACTGCACGGTGGTGAGGAAGCCCTGCAGCCCCACCTCTGTGATGCGGTTTCCTGGCGGAGGAGCAGACGAGGTGGCCGCTTACACCGCCAGCCTCACCCATGCCTACCCACTCCCTGCACAACTAACCCCCTGCTCCCCCAGCTGCCCAGCGCCCCGATCACTAGCCCAGGCCTGACTCCTGCCTGGCCCCTCACCCCAGCCCTCCTTCTCTGACTCCTCCTCTGTCTCACTTCCCTCAACCTTGTTATTCTCCACCCCCATTTCTCTCTCTCCCCCCAACCCAGGGCCTGACTTCCCCTCACCCTAGAGCCCCCTGCAAGAGGGCCTCCGATAGCATGATGGCCATCCATGGGAGAACCGGGTTCTGCTCCATGGAGCCGGGGGTGGGGCACCCTCCTGGCAGCAGGGGGCCCAGGTAGCCTTGTGGCAGGAGGCTGGGGGTGGTTGGCACACATACGGAGGAGGTTGAGGTGCAAAAGGACCTTGTTCCCAGGCATGAAAACTTTCCCATCTCGGTGCTCCACAGGCTCCAGGAGAGGGTTGACCATCTCCATAGCTTCAGCAACAAGCTGCTAAAGCAGAATACTAATTGCAGCAGAGGAGAGGGGAGCTGGTCAACAGGCCATTCATTCATTCATTCAACATACATGTTTTGAGGGCCGGCTATAGTCCAGGCTTTGTCCTAGGTGCTGGGAATACAAAGATAAATAAGCCCATACCCTCAAGAAGCAACTTGGTGTGGGGGAGCCAGAAAGTAAAACAGTAATGGGGTATGGTGTGACAACTGGCAAGGTAAGCTCTGAGCACTGAAATCACGGAGGAAGGACATCTAGCCCAGGCTCGGGAGCCAGGAAGGGTCTCCTGGAGGAGGCAGCGGCCTGTGAAGTGAAGTTTGAATGGTATGTGGCCTTTATCAGATAAAGATGAGGGGAACGTGTTCCAGGCAAAGAAAAGAGCAGGTGCAAAGGCTCTGGGGCATGAAGCAGTCTCACATTCGGGTCTTACTATTTTCTAATAGCTAGAGCAATGAGGGCGATTAGAGGGAAATGACACTGAAGGCAGGATGAGAAGAAACTGCCGTATTGGTGAGAAGCAGCAGCCTGGATGAAGACCCGGGCAGGGACAAAGAAAACTGGGAATTGAAAGGCAACCCCCACCCCCTTTCGCCACCTGAACTTGCTCTTTTGTAAGATCTTGTCTTGGGTGCCAGAGAAGACTCCTAAAAGGGGAGGGGACCATTCCCTGCCTAGGGCAAGGGAGGTCTCCTGATGGACAAAGATAGACCCCCAGACAGCTGAGGGCTGAGGAGGGATGGGAGCTATGGAGTCGGCACGCCAGGAAGGTTCCCGAAGCAAGGAACAAGTTGGTCCAAGTTGAAAAGGAAAAGGGAGGCTCCAGGGGCAGAAGAGAAAGGGTCTCAGGGAACCTTGCACAGGGCAGGGGCAGTATCACGACTATAAAAATGCCCTGCCTTCCTGGGGCACTGCTGAGGGGGGCAAAGGATAATGTGCTTTGTTCCCTGTGCAACTGTGCAAGCAGATGACGGAGGCGGCGACGATGAACCAATGGCCTTTTGGGAAGCAGACTGAGCTGAGATAGCAGATTGAAAGTGTGGACTCCTAATAATAAAGGCAGGGTGGGGCTGGCCCGGTGGCGCAAGTGGTTAAGTGTGCACGCTCCGCTGCAGCGGCCCGGGGTTCGCCGGTTCAGATCCCGGGCGCACACCGATGCACCGCTTGGCAAGCCATGCTGTGGCGGCGTTCCGTATAAAGTGGAGGAAGAGGGGCATGGATGTTAGCTCAGGGCCAATCTTCCTAATAATAAAAAAATAATAATAATAATGGCAAGGGGAGAGGGTGAGCACTGAGCTCATCATCCCCCAGCAAGGCCAGGTTGGGAGGGGGCTGGAGGGGTCCAGGTGTAGTGGGGCAGGAGTGGCAGACAGAACGTAAACTGAAGCCCAGGGCTGGAGACCACATTCCAGGGTGGCTGGGGTGAGAGCTCCTGGGCAGCCTGGGTCCCAGGGATCCCCACCCTGCTTCTCCTGCAGCCTACCTCTGACTCCAAGAGGATGCTGCCCTTCTCTCTGCTTCCAGTCTTGGGCCCTTTTCCCTTGCTTGGTTTCTGCTCAGGGACAGTGACCTCTGCAGCGGGAAGAGGAGCCAGAATGCACAGTGCAGATACTTCTGATACCACCCATTGCCCCCAGAGAGAGTGGGCTGCAGCGAGGAAGGAGACTCCTTAAACTTTGGGTTTGGGTGCAATAGAAACAGAGCTGGAGGGGACCCCCAGCTAGGCAGGCTGGGCCACAGCGGTCCAGCCCAGGGAAACAAGGTGTGGAGTACGGTGGGTCAGGATGTGGGGCTGGGTGGAGCTTTCCACATCATCTGGCCGAGGGAAGGAAATAAGGCCCAGAGAGGGACGTGACCAGAAGACTAGCTCACGGCAGCACAGCGAGGCCAAGAACAGGCTGCCTGCATCCTGCCCAGTTCTCTTCCTTCCTCCACACCAAGAAGGTGCCTCAGAGGGGCACTCACACTTACTCCCCTTGCCTGACTTTGTGGAGTCTTCCTTCTTCGGGGTTCCTTGTGTGGGTGACTGCCCGGACCCTGACTTCTCCTCTTTCTTCACCACTTCCTGTGGAGGATGTTAGAAGACACATGAAAGTCCTACCTCCCTGGGGGATGGGGAACAGATGTGGGAAGGGCCGCGTTAGGACCCTGGGCCTGAGGTGGGCCCTCAAAGGCCTTCTTCCCTCCACCCCCACCTGGGCACCATGGAAGCTTCCTCCCTGTTCCTCCAGTGCCCAAGGCTCTCCCACCCACAGCACGCCTACCCCTGACTTCTCCTTTTTCTTGCCCAGGCCCTTAGGGGTCTTCATTGTCTGCATCTTGTCTGCCTTGTCCACCAATGCAACATTGCTGGCCCCTATCGGCTGAATCTTCTCACGATCCGCTTTGGAGTCCCCATGTCGAGAGGAGGAAGGCTGTGCTCACAAATGGGAGGGGATGGAGGAAGAAGTCAGTGCCCCGTCCTCAGTGAGGGGGGAGGGGAAGCCTCATGCCTGGCTGGCAATCCGACAGGCAGCACCCCACCCCCATCTCCCTGCCTAAGTGCCAAAATAATTTGTTTGAGACTTCTCTGAGGGGTGATGCTGTTGGGAAGAAATGGCAGAGGGACCTGGGGATGAGCTGGGGGTGGGCGTGGGGGCTCCAATTCTCATACTGAGGGAGAAAATAGTAGCTAACTTTTATTGAACTAAGTGCCGGGCACTGTTCCAGGTGTATTGCATGAGTTAACTCATTTAATCCTCTCAACAATCCTATAAGGTAGGTACAATCATTCCTATTTTACAGATGAGGAAACTGAGACCAGAGAGGTTAAGTAACATGCCCAAGGTCACAAGCTGTTATGTGGCTGAACCCAATTTCAAGTACTGGTGGTCTAACTCTAGTCCTTTCTCTTTGTTTTTTTTTGTTTTGTTTTGTTTTTTTTTGGTGAGAAAGATCAGCCCCGAGCTAACATCCCTTGCCAATCTTTCTCTTTTTGCTGAGGAAGATTAGCCCAGAGCTAACCTCTATGCCCATTTTGTATATGGGACCCGCCACAGCATGGCTTGACAAGCAGTGCCCCTAGGCCGGCGCCCAGGATCCGGACCCGCAAACCCTGGGCTGCCCAAGCGAAGTGCATGAACTTAACCACTACGCCAGGGCGCCGGCCCCTCTAGTCCTTTCTCTTAATCAATACCCTCTACCGCCCATGGAGTGGTTCTGCTGTTAGAGCCCAAGCGTTTGTTAGATCTGCTCAGAAGTCGCAGAGAAAGACGGCCACGACAGACGGAGAGAGGGCGGAGAGGACCTGGCCAGCTTGTTGAAAAGCAGCCGACCTGGGAAGTGGTTCGAGGGGGCTCCGGCGGCTCCTCACCGATCGCGATTGCTCCTGCGTCCCTTTCTCCAGCAGGAGGCGCCGGCGCTCCACCACCTCGGTGTGCGTCAACTCGAAGGGGCGCAGGACCTGAGGCAAGGCGGCACTTCACGATCAGACACCCCCCACCCCCAGCCAGGGTCTGCTCACCGGCCCCACCCAGTCGGCAACCCGCCTCGGCCAGCTTCAGGGCGCCGTTGTCCTGGATGCGGTTGTGGGCCAGAGACAGCCAGAGCAGGGAGCGGTTCAGCCGGAGGCCCTGAGGAGGAAGGGGTCGGGCGCGTGACCGGCGGGACCCGGGCCGCCCCAGCTCCGGTGGGTCCCTCCCCGCCGCGCACGCACGTCCGCGATGTAGCCCGCGCCCTCGTCCCTGATGTGGTTGAAGCCCAGGTTGAGCGAGACCAGGGTCCGGTTGTGGCTATGTAGCGTGGACAGAGCCTGGCCCAGAAGCTGCGCCCCGTGGTCGTCGATGTTGTTGTTCCGCAGAGACAAGTGCGCGATCCTGGGCAGTGAGAGGGAGACCAGGGTCACTGGAAACACGGGGACCTAGGCGTTCGCCAGAATCTCTGTGAACTAGTGAGGGCACGAGGAGGGCCATCCGGTCTGCGGGTGGAGGGGCAGGAATTGAGAGTCCTTGGGGAGGTGCTAGAGAGGTCAGGCAGGGTGGGGACTAGGGATGACTTGGAATGGGGGACCAGCCCAGAGAAAGGGGGTGAGTCTCACCTGGTGTCCAATGCCATGAGCTTGTGATATGACTGCTCGGGCAGCGGGTTCCCCTCCAGAGACACCTTCCTGAGGGTGGGGGAGGTCTGAGAACCAGGACTCACCACTGAGGCCAAGCCAGGGAAGGGGACAGAGAGCAAGTGTGGTCTCTAGGGAGCAGCTTGGAAATAGTTAAAGAATGGCCCCCCAACAAGGGAAATTATATGTGACAGTTCTCCAGACTAAAAATCCAGAAGTGTGGCCATGTGAAGGCCACTAATCCAGAGTTAGTGACCTGTAGTAAGGTGGCCTCTAAGATGACCCCCAATGATCCCCACTTTCTGGTATCCATGCCCCTGTGGAATCCCCTCCCCTAGAGTGTGACTGGACCTAGTGACCTACTTCTGATGAATGGAATATGGCAAAAGTGATGGGACATCACTTCAAGTTGAGGTTATAAAAAGACTATGGCTCCATCCTGGGTGCTCTCTGGCACTCTCTGGGATTGCCGGGTGCCACATGGTGAGGCACTCAGACTGCCTGTGGGAAGACTCACGTGTCGAGGCCCTGAGCCTATCCACAGCCACGTAAGTGAGCTGGGGAGCAGATGCTCCAGCTCCAGGAGAGATGAAGCTCCAGGGGAGATGACTGCAGCCTCACCAGGACTCTGTGTGGGAGGCTCCTGGCTAACCTACACCTGGACTTATCTCACAGAAACTGTGAGATCATAAACATTTGCTGTATTAAGCCACTAAGTGTAGAGATAATTTGTTACACAGCAATAGATAACTAATACATGACCCTCCACAAGGCAGTGGTTTCTCCAACAGTGCTGAGAGAATGGAGGTCTTTTTCCAAGTCACAACAAAAATTGAACTAATGGCTAGAACTTTCTCTATTTAAAAATTTTCTCCCATGATTTATTACCTTTGCTCAACCTTTCAGGCTGGCTCATCTTTCATCTAAAAACTTCATTGCATTCACTTAAAATTATTTTTATTATGTTGATCTGACTTATTTTTACATATTAAGATAGTTCTGGGGGCCGGCCCAGTGGCGCAAGCGGTTAAGTGCGCGCGCTCCACTGCGGCAGCCCGGGGTTCACTGGTTCAGATCCCAGGCGCGCACCGACGCACCGCGTGTCAGGCCATGCTGTGGCGGCGTCCCATATAAAGTGGAGGAAGATGGGCATGGATGTTAGCCCAGGGCCAGTCTTCCTCAGCAAAAAAAGAGGAGGATTGGCAGATATTAGCTCAGGGCCCATCTTCCTCACAAAAAAAAAAAGATAAGTTCTGTAATTATTTTTCTGCTGGTTGAATTTTTTCTAATTCCCATGATGGAATAAAATATGTTTCATGGTATTCTATACAAGGAGCGCTGAGGACCTCCAGCTGAAGAAGACACATTCCCTGCCCTCAAGAAGCATCCATCCCACCCATCCACAGGAAGAAGATGGACAAGCCAGTGTGTGGCACTGAGGGTGCGTTCTGTGAAGCAGGAGAAGTCAAGGGTGCTGGGGGAGCCTCAAGAAGGGGCAGCCAAATCAGCTTTGCCCTTTATACAGTAAACCACACCTGTAGTTACACTATTCCCATCTTGCTCTGGCTCCCTTCTGTACAAGAATGCCCTTTCGCAATCCCTTGCCTTGCCTCTCTCCTATTCCTCCTTCAGGCTCAGCTCAGCACCACTTCCTCCAGGCAGCCTTCCATGTCTCCCTGCCCCACACCCCCCCCACACCCATGAGATGGGGTGGCACTCCTCCTTTGCCCGCAGTCCCTCCCCCGATGAACCATTCTTCTACCACCAGAGGCCCCACACTGCTCTGCAGTATCTCTTCCTAAATCCTTCTCCCTCTCTCATTGGACTGCCAGGTCCCTGAGGATAAGAACCAGCCCCTGGTACAGTGTCAGGCCCCAGGCAGCAGGGAATGAGGGGAAAAACCTCCATGGAGACAGTGGATGGTGGCAGGACTGATGGAAAGGAGAGGGAATGAGGCTGCAAAGGTCAGGCTCTTGAGCCGCTGGTGGAGGCAGAAAAGGGGATCCCACTTCTTGTCAGCTGGGAGCTTCAAAACCCCACAGACACTAGCTGCACCCTGTTTCTGCAAGGCTGCCAGCCCAGGCCCACAGGAGCTGGGACTTGCCACTCCCCTCCCCAAACTGCTCCCCTCTGACTGCCCACCCAGCCAGGCTACCCAGGCAGTGGGGGCCTCCCCCCCGTGCTGACCTGAGTGTGGAGGAGCAGAGAGGCAGGAGGGAGACCAAAGCAGTCAGGGTCTTATCAGTCAGCCCCACCTTCCAGAAGCTGGAGTTGGTGGGAAGTACAGAAACAGCTGGGGCATCATTCCCCACATTGCCCTCTCCCACCACACCCTGCCTCAGGCCCCCACCTCCCCACAGTCCCCAGGGTCTTCCGTGCCCCTTCAGTTCCTTCTCCCAAGCCACCAGGAGCCCTGTCCCCCACAGTGGGCTCCTGCCCTCCCCCCTCCATGTCCTCTCACTTAATGGCCTGCAGCTGGCTGATGGGAGGCAGACATTTAGAGAAGATACCCAGGATCCGCTCCTCAACCTTCCAGCCTGCGGAAGCGAGAGGAAGAAGGCGCCTCAGGCCTGGAGGGAGCGGTGGGGATTTGGCGAGAGGAGCAGTGATGGGTGAGGGGCCTCACCGCGGATGTACATTTCCTTCACAGCCTTGTCCTCGGGCTCCATCTCCACCTGGATGGTGGGCCGGAAGAACGCATATTTGCTCTCCAGGCTGTTGAGGCTGCAGGACCCCGACACCTGCGGATCGTCTAGAAGGCAGGGGTGCGAGGGGACGGGGCTAGCAGGAACGGGACAGAGACACCGCCCCGGGCCCCACGTCCATCGGCCCACAGGTGCCCGAGAGACGGGGACGGCTCCCGCAGAGGCGGCGGGGTTGGAGGACTCCGCGAGCGTGGGAGGCGCCGGCCGGGGGGCGCTGCTTCTCCGGCCAGGCCCACGTCTGCGAGGGTTTGGGAAGGCAAACGCGAGACTCCCCCGCCTCCCCACCCGCCCCCTGAATCCACCCCCCTCACTCACACACACACTGCCCTGCTCCCCCGCCGTCCCGCCCACCGTGAGATGGGAAGCTGGGGATGGACGAGGTGGCCCTGGCGGGAACCGCTGGGGCTCCACTGTCACTCACCTAGGGGGGTCTTTTCCGACGTAGAGGCGGAGGGGACGAAGGTCGGGTGCGGGCGGCGGGGCCGAGTGACAACTTTGGGGAAGTCCGTGTAGCCCGACCGCGTGCAGAGCTCTGCGAAGTCGGTCTCAAGGACCCCGGTGCACTGGTACTCCTCTGCGGGGGCGGGGAGGACAGGGGGCAGGGAAGGGCCGCGCCCTCGGGCTGTCGCCCACGGCCGCCACGGGAGGGCAGCAGAGACGCCAGCCAGGATCGGCGCCCTGCTCCGCGTTCCCACGCTCGCTGGCGCCCGGCTTCGGGCCTCAGGCGGGCAGGGGCCCCTCCTCCGAGGTGGACATCCTTACAGCCATTTTTAAAATGTAAGATGCGCTGTAAAGAACAACGCTGAAAACACTTGAGAGGAAACAGTGGGAAATCAAGACCTGGGCGAAAAGGGACAAAAGGGCGTGGAATGTAGGCCACCGGGGCGCCTCTTTTCTCTACTGGCTCCTCCACCCGCCCATGGGTCAAGGCCGCTTGCATTCCGGCTCTCCGCTCCCTGACGGGGGGCCTCCGCCTCCCCAACCCAGCCTCCTCCCATGTCCCTTCATTGCTAGAACTGCCCAGGGTCACGGAGAAGGAAGCCCCAGGCCTGATGTGAGCAAAGGAAGGAACCCAGGAGTGCCTCTCCACCCCCACTCTCACCCCCATCCCCACACATACACCGCGGTCCAGCAGAGCTGCAGGCTTTTTGTGTGTGTGTGTGTGAGGAAGATCAGCTCTGAACTAATATCCATGCTAATCCTCCTCTTTTTGCTGAGGAAGACTGGCTGAGCTAACATCTATTGCCAATCCTCCTCCTTCTTTTTCCCCCAAAGCCCCAGTAGATAGTTGTATGTCATAGCTACACATCCTTCTAGTTGCTGTATGTGGGACACAGCCTCAGCATGGCCGGAGAAGCGGTGCTTCGGTGCGCGCCCGGGGTCCGAACCCGGGCCGCCAGTAGCGGAGCGTGCACACTTAACTGCTAAGCCACAGGGCGGGCCCACTGCAGGCTTTTATTTACTTAGCAAACACTTATATAGGACTTAATTCTGTCTCCAATTGTTCTAAATGCCTTAGGAATATTCGTTATATTAATTCAGACAGATGCCCCTCACATCCCATCCTGAGGGCTATGCACACCCTGAGGTGTCTGAGTCCCCAGAGACCGCTGTTCTTTCCTGCTCTCCCATGGGCATCCCAGGAAGAAGTGGTTCCTGGAGATGGGAAGGGGTGTCCCTGGCAAATGGGAGAGGCTGGAGGCAGAGGGCTGGCTTGGTGCTAGCCTGCTCTTCCAAGTGCTGGGCAGCCTGGAGCCCCCACAGCAACATCACCCAGGCCCTGGGCGGCAGGTGCTGCAGGCACTGTGCCCAGAGAGCACTCCTGCAGCTGAGAGCAGGGAGCCTGCCCGGAGGGTGTGGAGGGACTGGGAGGACAGGGGCTCAGCATGTGTGGGGGCAAGATGCAGAGAGGTTTGAGGGTTCTTGTGACAAAGGGGTGAGAGACATGTTTCTCATGCGAGCAGCCATCAGGGGGAACACGGACACAGGAGAAACGTCAGCTGAATGGACAGGGTGGATGAGAGGAGGCACGGGGAGGCTGGGGAGGCCCCTTGTACAGCTGATTCCTGCACACCAGCTTTCCCAGGGCTGTTCCCTCTGTTGGGAGAGCCCCTCAGCCCTTCCCTGCTTCACTCAGACTACCTTTCTCTACAACAAAGATTCTCAAACTTGAACATCATCCATAAGCCTGTTCAAACAGTTTCCTGGGCCCCATCTGCAGAGACTCTGATTCCACAAGCTGGGTGGAGTCCACTGATGTGCTTTCTAACAAGCTCACGGGTGATGCCAAAGCTGCCAGTCCAAGGACAGCACCCTGAGAACTGCTGCTCTAGAACAGTGCTGCCCAACAGAACGTCAGGCGATAATGGAAGTGTTCTCTGTCTGCGCTCTAGTAGGGACCTAGCGGACAGTGCGGCTCTCAAAGGGGCTTCCTCCCACTCTCCTCCGCTCCCACACTCCTTCCTCACGCTCACTAATGACCTTGCCTCGTAGCTGCTTGAGAAACAGAAGCCACCAGATGGGATTTCCTCTAAATCTATAAACCTTCACACTATCTGCCATCATTCTCTACTCCACCTGAGCCCTGCATCTGACCCTGCCACAGCACACCATGGCACCTGCTAAAGCCACCGTGACCTCCGGGTTGCCCTAGCCAGGGTTGCTGTGCAGTCATCACCCCCATTCTCTCCTACCTCTCTGCTCAAGGCTGATGAGGCTCCCCTGCCAGCTCCTCCCCTTCCTCCAAGGTCTCTAAGGCTGGGTCCTGAGCCCTCTCCTCTACTCTGGTTACACTCCCTCCCCCCTCGGGGAATCTCTTTCATTCCCAGAGCTTAAATACACCCAAACATCAGCAGCTCCAAAAGTCGCACCTCCAGCCCTGACCTCTCTTGGGTGCTCCAGACCCATGTGTGCAGCTGCCCAGCTGACATCACCCTTGGAGGTCCTCCCTGACAAGCTCTTCCTTCAGCCTCTCCTGTCTCCATGAATGGCACCTCAACCCACCCAGTGCCCAGTCCAGAAACCTGGGAATCATTCTTGCTACATCCCTCACTTTCCACCCCATCCAATACTTCACCAATGCTTATTACTTCTACCTCTGAAGTATTTCTGCAAGGAGCCTAAGCAATTCTCCCTCACTACCCTATTCCAACTACCACTGTCCCTCACCTGGACTGTTGAAGTGCCTCGTAACTCATCTCCCTGCCTCCATTCTCTCCCCATTCCACTCCATTTTCCATACAGCAGCCAGAGTGGTACGTGGTGTGTGTGTGTGTTTAATGGGTTCATATCTTAGCAGATTCTATACTGTCATGTCTCTCTTTCTGGAAAATGCTCTTTCTCCAGCTCTCATAGCTCCCTTCCCCCAGCCACCAGTGACAAGGAGATGGCACCTGACCAAGATCTGACAGTCAGAGCCTTTTCCCAAGTTGTTTTACCAGGAGTCCAGGGACAGCAAGTTCCTATCCCTCTCTGATGGCACAGCTGGTGGACTGGAGTCAAGAAGCCTTGCAATAAATTCCCTTTGTGGATAATTAGTTTGGGTTGGGCTCTATCACTCGCAACATGAAGAGCTACACTTCTACTTATACTTTTCCCATGGTTTTCTTTTCCCAGAGAATGTAAATTCCATGCAGGCTGGGCTGTGTCCCTCTCATTATCTCTGTATTGGACCTGGCTGCAGAGCAGGCATCCAAAAAGTAATTGCTGAATAAATGAGTGAATATCTATAAAACTCAACTCAAAGTCACCTCCTGTAGCCCTGTGTCCTCCCATCACCCCCTAGGCCTTCTTCTCTCATCCATCTTATCACATCTTATTGCATTTGTCAGCATCCCACAATGCAATAGGGATTGCATAGGGAGGGAAGGATGGGGCCAGGGCGGAGCGGGCAGGACTAGGCCAGCCCGAGGCCACAGGGGCAGGTGAACCCTGGAGGGCCAGGTCCTGCAGTGTGGGTTCTTTAAGGTCAAGTTCAATTCAAACATCTGCCAAGCTGAGATTCAGGAACTGTGCTGGGAGTAAAACTGTGATTCATATCCCAAGATAGAGTAGGGAGCCCGGCACACAGTGGGTGCACAATGTATGCTTGCTGAATGAACAAATGAATTTGCAGTTTACAAAATACTTTCTCACCATCAACTCCACTGTTCCACACCGGTAGGCAGGGCGGGACCCACATCTCCACACTACAGAGAAGAAACGTGCCCAGGGCCACACACCTAATGATGGTTACCTCTTATAAGACTCTTATCATGTGCCAGGAGCTAGTTAGATTCACATACTGAGCTTCAGCCAGGGTAGCCCTTTTCCACACAGCACGTATTAGCCCCAGAATTTATTATTTCCTGGCTCGTCTGTCTCACTCACCAGGGCATCTGTCCGGTACAGTGCCTGGCCCAACGACGACGCCCATCCACCTGGCTAACCCGAGGAATGAGTGGCTGGTGGGAGCTTGGAGCCGCAGCCTGGAGGCCTAATTCCCCAACCCCGCCGCCAGCGTACCAGGGTTTTTGGGCTCCTCCTCGCCCACCGGTGGCAGGACGGTCACCGGCTTCTCCTTGGCCCCGCGATCCCCTTTCTTGGTCACTGTGCCGGACGCCTTCTGGGTCCCGGGTCGCGGGGCCCTGGGGGAGACGGCCGGCGCGCTCGCCTCGCCCGACATGCTAGCGCCGTCCGCAGCGACTCTGGGGACCCTCACGGGGGCGAACAGGCAAGACCGGACCCTGTGGGGCTCGCCCTAGGGGTGGCGGAATCGGGGGGTCTCTATTCCTGGTCCAAGACCCAAAGCGCCAGCAGTGCCGTGGCTCCGCGTCCATCTCCATGACAACCGCGCAAGGCGGCGGGCCGCGGGAAACAGGCAACCGCAAAGCACACGCGGGCCGACAGGGGGCGCCGCAGAGTTAGAGCAGGGGTTGGGGGAGCCCCGAGGGTGGAGCCGCGGAGCTAGAGCAGGAGGGAAGGATGGGGCCAGGGCGGAGCGGGCAGGACTAGGCCGGCCCGAGACCACAGGGGCAGGTGAACCCTGGAGGGCCAGGTCCTGCGGACTCTATGCGAAGGGACAGGGCCTAGGACGGCCCAGGACCTAGGCGGGCCCGTGGCGGAGGGACTGGAGCTGAGGGGGCGGGACTACGGCAGGACCGGGACAGAGGGGCGGGGCTAGGGCGAGACCAGGACGGAGGGGCGGGGCTAGGGCGGGCAAGGAGCCGTCCAAAGTCACCCGCGAAACTCAGCCCGGGAAAGCGGGGAGCTCGCTCGGCGTATTAGGGATCGCGGCAGTCAGAATGTAGGAGGGGAGAGTCTGGGTGGGGGCAGATCCACTCTCCAGGGCCTGCCATCCTATTCTGTAAGGAGAGGAAAAGCCCAGAGAGACCCACCGAGTTGGCGAGTTGGCGTGGCGCTCGGTTTCCATTCTCGACCCCATCTGTTTAGCCTCCTGGAAGTCTGGGGACTTAGTTGAGCCGCTAATGAGTTAATGAGGCGGGCCAATTTCCTAGAAATCTTGGGTTCAAAGTCCTCATGTAGTCTAGACCCTGACGGTTCCCTCCTGCTGGGCCCCCACTTGAGTATACCCTCTAGAGTCTGCCTTCCTACCTCCAGCCTCCGCACCCCACTGCTACTCCCAGAACCTTCCCGCCTTTGAGCCTTTGTGCTGTTCCCCTGTAGAAATGCCACCCTTTGGGGAAGCCTCCCGCCAATGCGGTCTATTGGCTCTCAGAGCACACAACTTGCCTGTCTGTCTGAGCATTTACCAGATACAGAGAAGAAATTTTACTGCTGGTACTTTTAATTCACTCAGCCACTCAGCCTTTTGGGAACATTTATTGAATTCTACCATGTGCCAAAGGGAACCAATGTTGAGCATAAACACAGGACTCTTGCCTTCAGGGAACTTACAGTCTCGTGCGGGGGGGGGGGGCACAGATTAATCAAAGAATCACATCAAGAAACAACACGTTACAGAGGCCTGGCACCCTGAGGCCTTCTGCAGACATCTGGTGAGTGAACACAGTTGTGATCAGCGCTATGAAAGAGAGATGCTTCCCTGAGGAAGGGATGTGGAGGACAGGTAGGCATTAACAGGTGAGTGGAGGAGGAAGAGCATTCCAGATGTGCAAAGTCCCTGTGGTAGGAAGAAGTGTGGCTGATAGGAGGATCTAGAGGCCAGTGTGGCTGGAGTGGAGTGACAGGGAACACAGTTCAAAGTGAGGCTGAAGAGACAGGCCAGGCCAGAGAGGCTTTAAGGTCTTTGACAGTTTTGACTGTGGCCCAAGAACAATGGGGCACCCATGAAGATTTTCCAGCTGGGCCGACCTAACCAGCTTGTATTTTGAGCAGTTGGTTGGAGGGGGTACCAACTGAACACAGAGAGGCCAGTTAGGCTATTGCTAAAGTTAACTGGGTTTGAGTTGTCTCTAGACTAAATGGTGAGTGCCCTAGGACAGGACCTATGCCTGGTACCCCTCTGAAATCACACACACACACACACTCACACTCACACATACACACACACAGGGCCCAGCCTGTGAGTGCACAGAAAATGTACCCAATATACATTTTTGACATCAATCTCAAATCAGAATTATCCAGCAACATTCAACCCACCAGTTTATGTACACAGGGCCCTGGGGGCCTTGGGGAGCAGTGTGCTGGGGACAGGGAACACAGCCTTCCTGATAACCAGTGTCTCCCAGGATGGAACCTGGGAGCCAGGCTCCCATCCCCTTTCCATGCACTTCCTCTATTAAACATGTTCGTGTTCACGGCCCGCTGGTCCTCTCCCTGCTCCTGGCAGGGTACAGCGGGCTCTGTCCCGAGCCTCGGGCAGAATAGGTGTGCTAGCCTCTGCACACCATCGTGACCCCTCAACGGTCCTGGCGCCGAAGTGGGGGTGATGGGGGATGCCGTACTGGAGGCAGGTCATAGTGTCCAGGGATGTGGCTGTTCTTGGGTGAGTCGTAGTGGCCGGGGGGCAGGCCCGGAGGCAGAGGGGGCTGGGAGCCCACGGAGTCTCGGTCTGGAGACAGAGAGGGGACAGGATGAGGGGGAGGTGGCTCCTCCCCTTCTCACCACTCTCCTCCCCTCTCTAGCTTCTTCTCCCCAAAGACAGATGGATGGTGCCTGGTTAGAGGCCAGTGTGTGCAGCTCCTCAGCGCCAGTGGGGGAGGCTACCTCGACCTGCCCACCCCACAGGACAGGACACTTTGTCACCTGCCTTGTTCCCCACTTTTCTGGGTACCAACTCCACAGCTCAGGTGCTGTACAACCACCAGTTTCAAATCCACCGCCCTGTGAGGTAGGCACCACCACTCACAGGCTCTAAGAGGCCCTGTGACTTCCCAGACATCAGGCCTGGTATGGCGCAAGTCTGACCCCAAAGGCCTTGCTCTTGCTGCCACCTGATGCCGCCTCCATATTCTCTCTCTCTGTCCCTTCTCTCATTCTACCTCCCTTGTCCCAGTTCTCTCTAGCCCCTGCCCCATTGGAGAAGGAAGGCTCACCATGGGTCAGAGGGTTGGGCTGTTCATAGGTGCCACTGTCTCTCTGTGGCTGGGGGTGTCGCCGCCTCTGGCTGTCCCGGAGCTGAGGAGGCTTCCTGTGGGGGGATCCTGAGGGAGGGCCTTTCATCTCCACATAGCTGCTCTCCCGGGGGCTCCCTAGCAGGCTGGGCAGGTCCCGGATGGTGGCATAGGGGTTTTCACTGCTCAAGGAAGCCATGCTGGCCCCCAGTCCCTCTTCAGAGATGGGCCCTAAGGATAGGGGAAAGAAGTGAGGCTCAGTGGAGGCACTGGCTCCTAAACCCCAGCTCAGCCCTCTCCCTTGTTGCCCCCTCTGTCCATACCTTTACTATAGAACAGGCCTGGGCCGTTACTATTGCTGTAGCTACAGCTGTAGCTTCGGTCTAGGCGGCTGCTACCTGAGGAGGCGGAGGCAACATGCAATCAGACCCCAGGTCCCCTCCCGAGGCTCCTGCCTCCTCTAGAACTGGGGCCCAGAACCCCCTTCTGCAGACACACACTCAGATGGAGCAGGATGCTGGGCTGCACGCATCTACCCTCACCAGAGGCCTTGGCCTCCAGGCTCCTACCCCTGTCCAGAGACCCTGGAGGGGGCTCCCGGCGGTGCTTCCAGTCAGCAGGCAGGGTGGCGTGGTAGTCATGCCCATGGGCTCCACCTGGCCGCTCAGGGGCCTGGAGGCTGGCAAAAAGCTGACTGCCTGGAACCTGATAGGGGAGGGGTGAAGTAGGGAGGGTAACATGCAAGGATGGAGCTTTCCAGAGAACCAGGTCTGCGCTCATCCCTTCCAAGTGCATTCCCTCTCCCCGCACTGACCTTGTTCGGGGGCGGGGGGTTAGGTGAGCACTGTGACAGGGTGTGGTAGCTGGGGTTGGAGTAGTAGTGACTGTAGCTCTGAGGGACATCTGCACGAACAGACACAGGTGCAATGTGACCTGCCCACTCAGAGACAGGCCCAGACCCAAGAGAGTTGTTCTGTCCCAGGAGATAAGTAATTGGCCCCCCAACCTCCCTTCCTCCCTCCAACTCCCCACTTCCCATCTCCTGGGTCCAGGAAGGGACACAGGAGCCCCACACCCCATCCGCCCTAAGCCTATGAACCAGCCAGTCATGCGTGTCCCCCACCTCCAGGCCAGCTCACCTGGCATGACGTACTCAGAACCGTTCACTCGCCCGCTGCGGTAGGCCACTGCCAAGTGTTGGTGCTCCTTGCCTTTTTGCCAATGGCGGTAGCCAATGAACAGTGCCACCAGGGCCACCACCAGGGACCCCAGCACTGCGATGCCAATCACTGCCCCCAGCGTGTTATAGGCCATTGGAGTGGTAGGCATTATGGTGAAGGGCTCCTGGCTTCCTATGTGGGATGGCGTGGCCACTCAGGACAGCATCTTGCCTGGGAGAGGCCCCGGTAGGGAGGCAGGGTGATACGAGGGGTCTAGGTCCTGGCAGAGACCTGGGCAGTTACCTGTGTCCTGGTTCCCTGGGGACAATGGGGGTCTAGAGGAGAACTCACCAATCCTACAGGGGGCACCACTGTGCCCCGGGGGACACACACAGGCGCCGGTCTCTGGGTGGCACCTCTCTCCAGAACCACACTGGCATGCTTGGGAGCAATTGGCACCGAACGTCCCTGGAGAACAGCCTGGGAGAGAGCCAAGGAGGCAGGCGGGGATCAGAGGGGCCAGGAAACTGCAGTCTCCTCCATGGGCTACAGCTCACTTGGGGACAGGGGCATGGAGTTCCCCTTCTACTGGTACCTTCCAAGCAGAGGTGTCCGGTCCAGCCTGGGGGGCAGAAACAGCTCCCATCCTGGGGGTGGCAGGTCCCGCCATGGCGACACTGGCAGGGCTGGGCGCAGTTGGCTCCCCAGTGTCCTAGAGGGCACGCTGCAGGAGACAAGGTGCCTGTCTGGAGGGGCAGGGCCAGCCCCTCTTGGATGAATTCTCAGCCCCCAGCATCACTGAAATCTTCCGCTCAGCTTTGGTCTCCCCAGGGACTCCAAGGCTTTGACGTGTTTCTGCACACTGATGACTCACAGATGCTGATGTCCGGCCCCACGTGCCCAGCTGCCCCCGCAACATCTGCGCTTGGCTATCCAATAGCCATTTTGAAATAATGTCACCAGGCCAGGCAACCAGAAGCTTCCAAACCACCCAGCATTGCTTAGCTCTGGACTTTTTTTAAACATAACCAAGAAGTATCCATACTATTTAAGGCATAATTTTTGTGTGTCTAACACTAGCAAATAATCTAATACTGGCTGTTACCGAATTCTATGGAAAAACTCTTTGCCAAGATCCCATCCCTCTACCCTCCAGCCTTTCTCATAGTGACAGCTTCTCATTTCCCCTTTGCAAAATTTGT